CAAGATGTGAGCAAATATTTGCATATCAGTGTTCATAGCAGCATTATCCACAGTAGTTAAAAGTGGAAACCATGTTGTCTTAGTTGTTCTCTGACCTCCACATGCATACTATACACACACACACACACACACACACACACACACACACACACACACACAAAATAAATGTACAAAAAATAAAGACAGCTGTTATATCTAGCAGTGGTGGTGCATGCCTTTGAATCCCAGCTCTTGGGTGGCAGAGGCAGGTGGATCTCTCAGTTCAACACCAGCCTGGTCTACAGAGTGAGTTCAGTACTGCCAGGGCTACACAGAGAAACCCTGTCTCAAAGTGGGGGAAGAGCACTGCTCTTATAGAGGACCTGGGTTTGGCTCCCGGCAACCCTATGGTGCTTCACAACTGCCTCTGACTCCAGATCCAGAGATCCTGATGCCCTTGTCTGACCTCTTCAGGAACCTGCATACGTGTGGTGCACATAAGCTCACACAGGCACACACATATGCACAGACATACTTTTTTAAAAAAGATTTATTTTTTTTTATTGTGTATATAGTGTTCTGCCTGCATGTATGCCTGCAGGCCAGAAGAGGGAACCAGATCTCATTATGGATAGTTGTAAACCTCTATATGGTTGCTGGGAATTGAACTCAGGACCTCTGGAAGAGTAGCCAGTGCTCTTCACTGCTGAGTCATCTCTCCAGTCCCATGCACATACATTTTTTAAATGAGTCTTTATTTTTAAAAATTAACAAATAATGTCCAGCAGTGGTGGTACATGCCTTTAATCACAGCACTAAGGAGGTAGAGGCAGGTGGATCTCTGTGAGTTCCAAGCCAGCCTGATCTACAGAGTGAGTTCCAGGACAACCAAGACTACACAGAGAAACCTTATCTCAAAAAAAAAAAAACCCTAAATAAATAAATAAAAATAATAAGTTTATTAAGTTTATTATTTAAAAACTAACTTGGAAATAAGTAAAACATCACACACCAAAATTAACCAGACCCAAAGTCTATTCAGCTCAGTGAACTTCTGTATAGTTATAATTGATGTTCAGAACAGAAGCTGTGGAGCTTCACATGAAATCCTCACTTTCCAGCCTTAGTGATAGCACATGCCATTTGTTCTGACACTCAGGAAGATCTCTATGAGTTCAAGGCCAGTCTGGTCTACATAGTGAGATCTGGGACAGCCAGGGCTACAGAGAAACCCTGTCTTAAACAATTCTAAACAAAATTTTAATTTTTTTTTTTTTGGTTTTTCCAGGCAGGGTTTCTCTGTATTGTTTTGAAGCCGCCTGTCCTGGAACTCACTCGGTAGACCACGCTGGTCTCGAACTCACAGAGATTCGCCTGCCTCTGCCTCCCGAGTCCTGGGATTAAAGGCGTGCGCCACCAACACCCAGCCCACATTTTTATTATTGAATATATTTTATGTGCTTATCTACCACCACACACACACACAAAATCCATGACAGATTTAGAATCTATCCTTTTTCATGACGCGTATCCAAAGAAATAGATTTTATTCCTTTGAGGCAGAGTATCTTCTTGAACCTGGCACTTGCGTATTTTTTCAGCCTAAGCTCCAGCGACCTCCTGTGTTTGCCCCTACTCAGTGCTGGAGCTACAGGGATGGACAGGCCCATCCCTATTCTGGTGCTCATATTTGCATAGGCCAAAGAGATGGCTCCCAGTAAGGATACTTGCAGCCAAGCCTAATGGTCTAAGTTTAGCCCCTGGGACCCACATGTTAGTAAGAGGAAGCTGACTCCTGAAAGTTGTCTTCTGCCCTTTGCTGCATTGAGCCATACACATGACCTACATAAGCGAATGAATGTTACCAAAAAAAAAAAAAAATCTGTAGCTTTGATTGTAATTCCTTCTCTGACTGAAGTTACCTGAGAGAAGTTTGACCTTTTCTTGTCATTTGGGGAGATAGTGGTTATTTGTTTGGTTTTTTTGGGTTTTTGGTTTGGTTTTGTTTTTATTTTTTTTTTATTTCAGCTTTCTTTTTTTTAAGATTTATTTATTTATTGCGAATACAACATCCTGCCCCCATGTCTGTCTGCAAGCCAGAAGAGGACACCAGATCTCATTACAGATGGCTGTGAGCCACCATGTGAATTGAACTCAGAACCTCTGGAAGAACAGTCAGTGCTCTTAACCTCTAAGCCATCTCTCCAGCCCCTGTTTTTATTTTTTTTAAGATTTATTTATTCTGCATGCAACATACAACATTCTGCCTCCATGTATGCCTCCAGGCCAGAAGAGGGCACCAGATCTCATAACAAATGGTTGTGAGTCACCATGTGGTTGCTGGGAATTGAACTCAGGACCTTGGAAGAGCAGCCAGTTCTCTTAACCTCTGAGCCATCTCTCCAGCCCCGGTTTTTGTTTTTTTAAGACAGTGTCTAACTGTGTAGCTTTATCTGGCCTGGAACTCTATATAGACCAGGCCGGCCTCAAACTCACAGAAGTCTACAAGCCTATGCCTCCTGAGTGCTGGAATTAAAGATGTGTGCTACCACACCCAGTATCTTGTCTTTTTGTTGTTTTTCTTACTTTTATTATTCATATTTTACTTTATGGCATTGTGATCAAAAAGTATAATGTAGATTATTCTATAATATTTCTCCTCATTTGAACATACAATATTTGATAGTATATATGTTGTCTTAGGGCTTCTATTGCTGTGAAGAGACACCATGACATGGCAACTCTGATTAAAGAAAACATTTAATTGGGGTGGCTTACAGTTTCAGAGGTTTAGTCCATTATCATCATGGTGGGACATGAAGACATGTAGGCAGACATGGTACTAGAGTTCTGTATCTTGATCTGCAGGCAACAGGAAGTGAGGTGTCTTCTACATTGGGCGTAGTTTGAGCATAGAAGACCTCAAAGCCACCCTACAGTGACATACTTCCTCCCTCCAACAAGGCCACACCTAACCCTAATAGTGCCACTCCCTTTGGGGGACACTTTCTTTCAAACCACCACATATGTGTATATTTTTTACTAATATATCAGATCAAATTCCACTATGTTAAACAATTGTGGGACTAGAGAGAGGGCTCAGCAGTTCTTGGCTCTGCTTCTGGGGGACTTGAGTTCAGTTCCCAGCCACCACCTCAGTCGGGTCACACCACCTGTAACTCCAGCTTCAGGGAATCCAACACCCTCTTCCAGTCTCCATGGAAACTTGCACACATGCGGCACACACACACATACATAACACATAAAAATATTTTTAAGAAAATAAAATCTTTTACCAGCATTTTGGAGGCTGAGAAAGGAGGGTTGTGGGTTTGATGCCAGCCTGTGTTATACAAAGACCCTGTGTCGAGAGAAAAAATACAATGAAGCTGAGAGTAATAGCACATGCCTTTAAAACTGCTGAAAACCCTTGGGTGAATGGCAGAGGAAGGCGGGTCATAGAGTGAATGTAGAGGTGTTAGCACTTAGGCCATCTGGAAGGGCATCACACAGGAATTCTTTGGACTGTGTTTGCAAATAAACCTAAAGTTACTTCAGACTACACACACACACACACATATTCAAAACAGGAGAGAGATGTTGGATCTCTTGGAACTGGAAATATAGATGGGAGTAAACTGCTGTGTTGGTGCTGGGAACTAAACCACTGAGCCAACTCTCCAATTCCCATTTATTATTTATCTGTTTATTTTGAGACTATAGCCCTGGCTGTTATGGAATTTGCTATGTAGACCAGGCTAGCCTCAAACTCACAGAGTTCCATCTGCTTCTGCCTCCCACATTCTAGGCTTGAAGAAGTATGGCACCACACCCAGCAAGTATTTTTTTTTGTGTGTGGTTATATGTGTGCACATGCATGCATTGCCATTGTGTTCATGTAGAAATCAGAAGACGAGCTGGAGAGATAGGCTCACAACCAAAACTATAAGAAATCAGAAGACAATTTATAGGAGTTCTTTCCTACCATTTGGACCCCAGAATCAAACTCATGTTGTCAAATTTGGCAGCAAATGCCTTTGTGAGTTGAGCCATCTAGTTGCCCACATACACATTTTTAACATCACGTGTGTGTGTGTGTGTGTGTGTGTGTGTGTGTGTGTGTGTGTGTGTGTTAAAAAATCATACTGTTTTGCTTAGGCTAGCATCCAATTTGTTTTTTTTTTGTTTGGTTGGTTTTTTTTGTTTTACAAGACAGGGTTTCACTGTATTGTTTTTGGAGGTTGACAGTCCAGCCCAGCCTCGAACTCACAGAGATCTACCTGCCTCTGCCTCCCGAGTGCTGGGATTAAAGGCGTGCACCACCAACACCCGGCTCGCTAGCATCCAATTTGTAACAATTCCTGTTGCCTCAGTTTCTTGGTGGCTGGGATTACAGGCCTTCACCATATCTTCATTATTTTTTGTAATTTATTTTTATTATTTTTAATTATAGGTATATTCTGTTGTGGGTGGTGGGTGTGTGCACAAGGTGCAGATACTCACAGAGGTCAAAGGTGTAAGATGCTCTTGGAACTGGAGTTACAGATGGTAGTGAGCCATCTGATATGATTGCCAAGTGAACTTTGATCCTCTGGATGACATACATTCATACATGCATACATACATACATAATATTTGTGTGTGTGTGTGTGCTTAACTGCTGAGCCATCTCCCCAGACCTCCTCAGTATTTTCAACACAGTGTAACTGGAGAGCACTCCTTGGTGCAAAGATTCCATGTATTATATCACTTTCCATCCAGGCTTCATTGTGATGTGTGATCCAAGGGATGATTCATTGACTACTAAGTGAGAGATAAGCCAGACACTCTCAGCTCTAAATGGATATCCCTGTCCCTCTGTCTCTGAGACCAGGAAGAACTCTTCAGTTGGATTACACAGGCATATAGCCCAGTGTGCACTGTGGTCTCAGCCACTTGTTGCATTTTCAACAGTGATTTCAGAGCCTTACTTGAAATAACAAATTTCTCCTTTTTATTTGTTTCCTTCTTTCTTCACAAAGACCTGAAGATGAGGTGTTTTTAAAGCGACTTTCTAGTGCTTACTTGGTGGAAAAGAACTATGATGCTCCCCTTTTCTACAGAGAAGAAGGAAACAAAAAATTCCAAGAGAAGGACTATACGGGCGCTGCAGTGCTGTACTCTAAGGTACCATGCATGCAACCCAGCAGTTGCACAGGCATGTTCTGCGGAAGTTAGAGACCTAGTACTGAATTTCGTAGCCAGCGGGGTTTTGTTTTGTTTTGTTATCTATAATTTGGATTGGATTTGGGGGGAAATGATAGAATTCTGTTGTTGATTCTATTCTCAAACCATGGATCGTTTATATATCCTGAATTTTGGGAGATTCTTCCCATATTCCTTCAGACCCACGGTAGCCACAGTTTTATTGGCCCTTTACCCTGCTTTTCCAGGTGATAATTCTCACTGAACTGTATGCCAGTTTTGTCCGTAGAACTGATGAAAAGTTTAGCTTGCTAGTTCTAACTTTGTGAGCAGCTAGATTTTTAGTTAGCTACATGCTAGCTTACCACCATACTAACTTAGGCTGGGTGTGGTGGTACTTGCCTTTATTTTCAACACTCAGGAAGCAGAGACAGGAAGATCTCTATAAGTTCAAGGTCATCAAGATCTACATAGCAAGCTCCAGTCCAGCCAAGGCTATGTAGTGAGATCATGTGTCAATAAAATAAACAATCAGAATGAAAAGAAAATAAGTGGATTTGCCATAGGCCAGCCAAACTAGATTTCATTGGTCATCAGTTAACATATTTTGTTTCGTTTTGTTATTTTGTTTATTTTGGTTTTTTTGTTTTGTTTTTGAGACAGGGTTTCTCTGCGTAGCCCTGGCTAGCCTCGAACTCACAGAGATCTGCTTGTGTGGGCAACTACTGCCTGGACCATCAGTTAATATATTATTATTAGTGACAGTCAATGGATATTTTACATTACACTAACCATGACCAAGCTATATTTTTAAATTATTTTATGTATATAGGTTTTTGCCTACGTGTATAACTGTGCACCACATGTGTGCATGGTGCCTGAGGAGGCCAGAAGAGGGCATTAAATCCCCTGGGACTAGAATTACAGACTGTTGTGAGCCACCATTTGGGTTCTGGGAATCAAACCCATGTCCTCTATAAGTGCAACCAGTGTTCTTAACTGCTGAGCCGTCTCTCCAGCCCCACCAAGCTAGATTTTGAAGCAGACTCATGGCTTTTAACACTGTTACTCTTACTGACCTGAGAAAATTCCTTCTATTGCTTTTTCAGAGATCTATATGGGCTTAAAGCAAGACTATGTCAGACTCTTGATCTGTGATCTTATATAGTAAAAGAGTGGGTGAGTCTAGCATGTTAGCATACTCCTGTAATCCAGGTTTCAGGGAGGAAGGAAGATCAGGAGTTAAAGGACAGTCTTAGCGTTGTAACAAGTTTGAGGCTAGCCTGAACTGTATGAGACCCTATCTGAGCAGGGAGAGAGGTGTAGCTCCATGTTATACCACTTGCCATCATAGGTGAAGCCCAAGGTTTGATTCCCAGTACTGGAAGTGAGAGTATTATATCTCTCTGCACCCTTGGAATTAATTTTCCAAAAACTGTCACAGCTGCAACAGCCACTCCACAAACATAAAAACTCTACTTTGTAATGGTGTAAATAAAGTATTTGGCTTCGGTTTTATGCCTTTACATCCTAAATGTGATCCCATGGAAAGTTGTCAGGGAAAATAAGAAAGGAGGGGCTGGAGAGACGTTCAGAGCTCAAGCACTTGCTGCTCTTGCAAAGACCATGGCATACGCTGGTTCCCCTACTTCAGGGAATCCAAAACCCTCTTCTGGCTTCCACAGGCACCCACACTCACAGATTCACAAAATTTTAAAAATAAAATGAAACTTTTAATGTGAGCTCTAGAATGAGTTTGACATCAGCCTGGCTACATGAGACCCTGTCTCAAGAAGGAAAAAGATGAAGGTTTGTTGGATGGAGAGAGGGATGCACTTCCTATTTTACAAAGCTGATATTTTGGTGATTACAGTACTTTGCAATTTTATAGAGAGCTGCTATTTTCTTTCTTTTTAAAGTAATGCTTGTTGTTTTTGCCTGCAAAAGTAATAAATGTTACTTTGTAAAATATAGGGAAGTATAAAGAGTAAAATAAAAGGCATAACCAGCGATAAGTACTGTTAACATTTTTACTTAGACCCAGCCAGCCAGCCTTTCTCCTGTGAGAATGTGTTTTTCTTTTACAAAATTGGGATAATGCTGCACTTACTGTTTTGTAACCTGCTCTTTACCTTCAACAATTTATTGTACCCATTTTCTCATGGTATTAAATTTTCTGCTCCAAGTAATTTTCCATAGCTAACTCAGTGTTCTATTACAGAGAAGAAATGTACTTAATTTAACATCTAATATTGACATATTATTTGGCCTTATGATGCTGTAATAGGCATCTCTCTGTATAAATATTTACATACAACTGACTTCTGTTTAGGATGAATTAGTAGAAGGGTAAAGTGCTGGGTCAGAAGGAGTATCTTCAAGCCTTTGATGCTGATGCTAACTTGTTCTCCAGGAAGGAACTATTAACATCCCTTCTGGCAGAATATGAGAATGCTCATTTCTTCATATCTTAAGCAACACTGGCTATTATTATATATTAATATTTTGTTAGAATTATATCTTTATTTTGAGGTTACAAAATGTGTTAATATAGTTAAATTTCAAAATTGCAAAAATATATAGTGTGATTACTCTTTTTGTTCCCTAGTCTAACCTCATTTCCAGCCCCATAAGTTCAAGGCCATCCTGGTCTACAGGACAGCCAGGGCTACATAGATAAACCCTGTTTCGAAAAACAAACAAATGTGTGTGTGTGTGTGTGTGTATTTTTTTTTTTTTTTTTTTAGAATTGAGGACATAGATCAGTGTTATAATGCTTACCTAGCATGCATGAAGCTCTGGTTTTTAAGCCTAGCATTCTACTCCAAAACATTTACTACAAATTTCTAAATTATATCACTAGTTATCAGACTAGTATATACTGTCACTAGCAACATAATGAGAGTGCCCATTGTCACACTCTTTTGTCAAGTAGTCAGTCAGTTGTTGATTTTATTCTTCTTTGACAAATTGATTGGTGAAGAAGTATTTCAGCTAGCCTAGAACTCAGAGTTCTGCCTGCCTCTGCCTCCCAAGTGGTATACACCTTTAATCCCAGTGCTAGTCTACATAGTGAGCTCCAGGACAGTCAGGACTACACAGAGAGAACTTGTCTCAAACAAAAAAGCAAAGAGTAATTTGTATGTCCCATAAGGACAAATGTATGTTCATATCATTTACATATTTTTATTGACTTGTTTTTGAGCTTTCAAAACTTGTTAAAATAAAACAGTTAGCTCTAGGGCTAGAGAGATGGCTCAAAGGTTAAGAGCACTGTCTGTTCTTCCAGAGGTCCTGAGTTAAATTCCCAGCAACCACATGGTGGCTCACAACCATCTGTAATGAGATCTGGTGCTCTCTTCTGGTATCTAAGTAGAACAGTGTATGCATAATAAATAAGTCTTTAGAATGCTGGAGACAAACTCAGGTCTTCATGTTTACATGACAAAAACTTTTTAAAAAAAGTTTGGTCCATTTCCACTGGACCTGGTGGCACAGGCCTGTAATCCCAACTACTTGGGAAATTAAGACAGTGGGATCATAAACTCAAGGTCTGCCTGGGTGACAGAGTGAGTTCAAGGTCAGTCTAGATAAACTGGTACATGTGGTAGAAGCTGTGTTTGATGCTATTATATTCAATGTTGCATCTTTATTTTCTCATTGATCTTCAGAGGTTTGCTAAAAGGTAAAAATAAAAGAGAAGTGGCTAGAACAGAAAGGTTCTGTAGGTGGAGTTTTCCTGTTTCTACTGCCTGCTCCTTCTCAAATAACTGACTCAGAGACTTAATATAAAGTATAAATGCTGGGCCAATAACTCAGGCTTGTTACTAACTAGCTCTTACAACTTAACCAATTTCTACTAATCCATGTGCTGCCCTGAGGCCTGTGGCTTTTACCTCTATCACATTTTTTGTGTCCAACTTGTTTTCTGGCTTGCTGGCTACTCCAGACTCCACCCTTCCTCATCCCATCATTCTCAGTTTGGCTTTCCCACCTAACTGTAACCTGTTCATCTATTGACCAGTCAGCTTGTTTATTAAACCATTCCTAGTGACATATATTCACACAGTGTACAGAAGGATTATTAAGGTTCAGTAATTTTTTTTCAATTCCTTTCAGTCTTTAGTAGTAGATCCCTCATTATCAGAAAAGATTAGAAATGCTACTTCCCATTTGTTCCTTTGATCAACTCATTGTTTTTCAGGGAGTGTCGAATTCAAGGCCTAACACTGAGGATATTTCACTGTGCTATGCCAATCGTTCTGCGGCCCTCTTTCACCTGGGTCAGTATGAAGTGAGTATCGAGTTACCTGGTGTCTTCCCTGTGACCGCTATGGAAGATGAGGTCCTATCTGTTTCTTCTGCACACACCAAAGTTAGTTAGCTTGGAAACACTAATATCCCCAAACTCATTCCTCTGACTCATGTCACGTCTCACAGGTGACTATGAAGAATCGTAGTAGTTGACAAGAAAAAGCTATGGCACTGTCCACAGGGCATGGACTGGATCCTATAGGTCAACACTTCTCTATGTCTGTATCAGTCAGATGTGTCGCTAATGGTACTTTAGATTCCAAGTATGTCAGGATATTAGTGTGTTCATTTGTTTCTTCTGAAGAAGCAGGGTTTGAGGACTGGAGAGATTCTCAGTGGTTAAGAGCACTGGCTGCTCTTTCAGAGGATCTGAGTTTGATTCCCAGCACCCACATGGTGGCTCACAACAGGATGTAATGCCATGTCTAGGGGATCCAACTTCCTCATCTGCCTGTAGGCACCATGCAGGCATTTGGTGCACAGACATATATACAGGCAAAACACATACACATAAAATAACAGTTTAAAAGAAGGAATTAAATAAGTAGGACATGCTTAAGATTATCCCTCTTATTACAGCTCTTCTACAGTAAACATTGAGAGTATGAAAGTAAAAGGTTTTCTTCTCATCCCCTAATTGCTGCAACAGCAGCAAAAACAACAGTGGAGCATTATGTCCTTGGAGTTTAAGTCAGGAAATGACAAAATGACAGATCTAGGTTTTAGGAAGGTACCCATAAGCTCTTTGAAATGTATAGTAGAGAACCCTAAGGACAAGCTCTAAAATATCATTCCACCCATGTGTGATTTCTACATAAATTCAGTTATACACTAGAATCGAGGACTATTGGGATAGTCACATGTTCACACTCACTGCCCTTCACAGTAAAGTAGAAGAGCAAGATCTATCTGGGCATGTTAGTATACAACTATATCCTAGCATGTAGAAGGCTGAGGTGTGCGGTGTGTTTGTTGCTACTCTAGGCTATGTAGTTAATATGTCCAATCAGAGTTTCTACTAAAAACTGAAAAACAAAAATCCAATAATCTGGGATTTCTTTTTTCTTTTTTTAATGGAGTGTGCAAGATGTCTCTGACTTTGTTCAGATGGCTACAGAACCTGGAAAAGCTGCTGTTGTTGCTATTAATGAGTAACATACTGCCATTATTTAACTTTTAATATATCTACATATACATACACACACATACACACATAATTTCAATTTTGGGAAGCTTTAGCTGTGCTGTGAACTGGGGGGAAAAATCCTAGTTTACCATGTTAAATTGGCATTGTACAGGAATCAACAGCCATATTGGTCTAGACATGTTAAACTTAATTTTTCCATTTATACAGATGTAATGCACTGTATTAAATATTCAGAGTCTTAGCTACATGAGTTTGATTACAGAAAATAACAAAATATTCTTTAAATAATGAAAAAAAGATCCAAGAATCTGACTCTGGGTCCTACAGAAGAAAGACTAGACTCCTAAGGATGGGTTTAGAAGAACGTAGGAAGCGTTTATCCCTTTATCACCTCCCTATATTGGTTGTCTGTTTAACTTCTAATAATGATGACACCGGGCCTGAAATCAATCCCCAGCATAAGGACAGGAAGAAGAAAGGAGGGGAAGGAAATGAAGGGGGAGAAAAGGAGGGGAAAAGATAAAAAGGAAAGACCAGGAAGCAGAACAGAGGATGTAATTTAAGGCCTAAGCTCTCCGTTGAAGTTGTCCTCTTTTATGACCCTTTATGTGCCTGTGGTTTTCCAGTTTTCAGTACGTATGGAAGAGTAGAAACCAAGAGTCATCCTGGAATTTCCTTTTTGTTTTCAGGCATGTCTTAAAGACATAGTGAGAGCAGGTATGCATGGGTATCCTGAAAGACTGCAACCCAAGATGATTCTGCGTAAGGCAGAGTGCCTGGTGAACCTGGGGAGACTACAGGAGGCGAGGCAAACCATCACTGATCTTGAAAGCAGCCTTGCTGCCAAGGCAACGCTGGTACCTTCCTCTTATCAGATTCTGCAGAGGAACCTCCACCACCTGAAAATGAAAATGAAGATACAGGAGAAGGAGAATCTCCCAGAAACCTTCCCAGCAGCTCTCACCAGAGCCTTTGAGGATATGGCCCTGGGGGAAGAGAACAAACAGATTTCTGGGGCATCACCCTCTGTCAGCTTACACACAGACCCTTTGAAAGGCCGCCATCTAGTTGCCACAAAAGACATTCTCCCAGGAGAGCTCCTGGTGAGGGAAGGTGCTTTTGTAAGTGTCCTTAACCCAGGAGAAATGCCCCCACTGCATTATGGCCTAGAGAACAAGTGGGACACCAGAGTTACCAATGGAGACCTCTACTGTCACCGATGTCTGAAGCACACTTTGGCCACAGTACCCTGTGGAGGCTGCAGCTATGCCAGGTATTGCAGCCAAGAATGTATGCAGAAGGCGTGGGAGTACTACCATAGCACAGAGTGTCCTCTAGGGGGGCTGCTTCTCACACTTGGGGTCTTCTGCCAAGTTGCCCTGAGGATAACTCTTCTAACCAGATTTGAAGATGTTGACAGAATTGTAAGGATACTTTGTGAGGAGACTGGTAGCAAAGACATCTGCATACCTGAAAACAAGACACTTCATTGTACAAATCAGGAGGAGAGTGAGAAGAACAGCATAATAGGTGACATCCCAATTCCTGGATGTAATGTCCATGGGGAATACAAAAGTAATTATAATGCTGTCTTCAGCCTTTTGCCTCATACTGAAAAACATAGCCCAGAACACAAATTCATCTGTGCCATCAGTGTCTCTGCACTGTGCAGGCAGCTCAGAGCGGCCAGCTTACAGGCCCCAGCCATGCACTTAAAGTCCTCCAGGTTGGAAGCAGTGACTCCAGGATTGTGTGCAGATTTGACTATCTGGGGAGTAGCCATGCTACGACACGTGCTGCAACTGCAGTGCAATGCTCAGGCCATAACCTCCATAAGGCACACAGGTAAGACAGGACCGGAGTTTTGCCTTACATTATTGGGTTTTCCTTTTTTTTTTTTTTTTTTTTTTTCTTTTTTGGTTTTTGAAGACAGGGTTTCTCTGCGTAGCTTTGGAGCCTGTCCTGGAACTAGCTCTTGTAGACTGGACTCGAACTCACAGAGATCCCCCTGCCTCTGCCTCCCCAGTACTAGGATTAAAGGCATAGACCACCACTACCCATCAATTTTTCTTTTTATTTATTTATTGTATATACAGAGTTCTGTCTGCATGTATGCCTGCACGCCAGAAGAGAGCACCAGATTTCATTATACATGGTTGTGAGCTGCCATGTGGTTGCTGGGAATTGAACTCAGGACCTCTGAAAGAGCAGCCACTGCTCTTAACCACTGAGCCATCTCTCCAGTCCCATTATTGGTTTTTCTAGAGCTAATATTTAAGGAGAAAATATAAAGGAACACTAGCATCGAATGAATCAATGACCTAAAAGGAAAACACAGCTATCTTTTTTTTTTTTTTTTTTTTTTTTTTTTTTTTTGGTTTTACGAGACAGGGTTTCTCTATATTGTTTTGGATGTAATTCCATAGTTTGGGAGATGGAGACAGGATGATTAGGAGGTTGAGACAGCCAGCCTCGGCTATATAGCAGGTTTTAGGTTAGTCTGGGCTACATGACACCCTGTCTGTTAAAAATTTAAGAAGCTAGAGCCAGGTGGTGTTGACTCATGCCTTTAATCTCAGCACTCGGGAGGCAGAGGCAGTAGATCTCTGAATTCAAGGCCAACTTGATCTATATAGCAAGATCCCCACCATCCAAGGCAACATAGTGAGATCATGTCTCAAAACTGATAATAATGTTAATTAACTAATTAATTAAAATTTGCAAACTAAAATATTTTAAAACTTTTATCAATTTTCTGTGTGGTATGTGTGTCACAGCCACAGGAGTTAGTTCTCTCCCACTATGTGTGCCCTAGGGATCAAACTCAGGTGGCCAGGCTTGGCAGCAGGTGCCTTTCCTTCCTCAGCCATCTCCCAGCCATTTCCAATATTTTTATTGAGTGATCTTCATGTTCTAAAAGAATGTCTTTGAAGGACTGGGAAGATGGTTCAGTGGTGATACACCTGCTATGCAAGCATGAGGACGAGAGTTCAGATCCTTACCACCCAGGCAGATGCTGAGCAGGCATGGCAGCCTGCCTGTGATTCCATCACAATTGAGCTGAACAGGATCCCTAGAACAAGCTAGCTAACCAGAATAGCCAGATTGGTGAATTCTGGGTTTAAGGAAAAGACCCAGGCTCAATGTATGGGATGGAGAGTGAGTGATCAAGGAAAATACAATTTAATCTAGCATAAGTTGCTGGCCTCCATGGGTAAGCCCACATGTACAAACACCACACATATACATGCAAGGGGGGGAGAGGGGAGAAAGTGCTGTTTAAGTTTTTTTGTTTTGCTTTGTTTTTTTGCCGAGTGTGGTGGCACACTCCTTTAATCCCAACATTTGGGAAACAGAGGTCTGAGGCTCTTTGTGAACTGGAGGCCATCCTGTCTACATAGCAAGAGACATCCAGAACTTATAGAGAGACCCTGTCTCAAACTTAACAATCCAAAAGATTTATTTTATTTAATATGTATGTATGTATGTATTTATATGTATATGAGGTTTTTGTATATGTCTGTGGAGGCCAGAAGAGGGCACCAGATACCCTGAAACTGGAGTTACAGACACTAATGAAGCACCATATGAGTCCTGGGAATCAAACCCAGGTCCTTTGGAAGAGCAGCAAGTACCCTTAACTGCTGGGCCATCTCCCCATCTCCTTTGCTAGTTAATGCTGCTAAATGGGAAGAAAGTAGATAAAACTTAAGATTTATTGACAGATTAGCACGGTCAGCCTCACTAAACTATAGAAGCTTACTCTTCAGACTTCTCACGTGACATTGTCCAGATTTTGCTGTCCTTTTTTGTGTATATGTCTACAGATCTTAATTCAGCTGCCAAATTACACAGTATGTGGGCATTCTTTGGGTCATAGATCATTTCCCCATCTTAAATCAATGGCATTTGAAAACTAGTGTTTGTCTGGCCTATGGTCCTAATTGTTTCAAGTTAGTCTCTGTTTTCTTTTCTGCCTTCTTTGACTCTTTGAGCCACTGCTACAAAAACATCCAAATCTGGGCCAGAAAGAAGGCTTAGCTAGTAGGTGCTTGCCTCTAAACCTCAAGACATGAGTTGTTTTTGCCTTGGTTTGGTTTGGTTTGCTTTTTGGTTTTTAGAGACAGGGTTTCTCTGTGTAGTCCTAGCTGTTCTGGAACTCTGTAGACCAGGCTGGTCTCAAACTCAGATCCACCTGTCTCTACCTACTGTGTGCTAGGATTAAAGGCGTGTACCACCACCACCCAGCTAAAATAAAATATGGAACACTTCATGAATTTGCATGTCATCCTTGCACAGGGACTGTGGTGATCTTTTCTGTATCATTCTAATGTCAGTGTGCTGATGAAGTGAGCTTGAGGACCTGAGCTATATCCTCAGGACCCACGTGGTAAAAGAAGAGAGCCAACTCTTTCTACACAAGTTGTCCTCTCACCTTCATACTCACATGACCAATGTGTTCCCGCTCACACAGAATAAATAAATAAATACTGGGGTATCCAAAATCTCTACAGTGTAAGTGGTTACCTCTCTCTTTTTTGAGGTCCTCTGTGTTTTTAAAATAAGAACACTATTTACATGGTGGCACAGTGTACTAGTAATTTTTGAAATGGTGTAAACCTCCATTCATTCTAGGATAAAAAGCTCTTTAAACTTTTGTGTGTGAGAAAGACAGACAGAGGCTGTGTGAAGGCTGAACCATGTGTACAGGTTAGGAGACAGCTCTTTAGTAGCTGAGTTTCTCCTACCTGTTTCTGAGGCAGAATCTCTCTTGTTTCTGCCCCAATACATCATATATCACCTCCAAGCCATTTATTCCATTTCTATGTCTCATCTTGCCCTAAACTTGCTGAGCTTACAGATGCCAGACACCACATTAACATGGGCACAAGTAGCTCTCCTCCTCTTCTTCTCTCCTCAGCTCTCTCCCTCTCCCTCTCTCTCTCCTCCCACCACTTCCCTTTCCAAGGCTACCCACCAGCCCTTCACAACCCATCCCCTCTTTCCACACCCTACCAATAAACCTCAAACATGGAAAAAAAGTAAAAACTCACAAGTAAGCCAGGGTATTAGTGTTAATATAAAATAGCAGAACTCAAAGTAAGATATCTAATAAATCAAAGCATTTTATTTTTATAAAGGAAACTTTCCATACTGAAATATATTATTAGTGTTAGCTCTCAGAAACAGAGATTGTGTCTATAAAACAAAAATGGCTAAGTGTACAAGATGGAGCTTGGCAAAAACTCCATTGTTGTGAGAAAATTTAGTGTGCCATTCTGGCTTTGACTGGGCACATATATTAAGGATCTAGAAACCAATATTACATAATAACCTGGGGATTTGGCAGATATATCTATCTATCAAAACTTGTATCCCGTAAATCAGAAGTCACAAACTTTCTGTGAAATACCAAATGGTATAAACATTTTAGGATTTGCAGGACATATACCGTGTTGCAACTGCACCTCTGCCCTGTAGCCTGCAAACAGCTGTGCAAACGTGAGCCTGCCCTGATTTCAGTCCATGTTCATTATAGACTCTGAAATCTAAATGTTTGTAATTCTCCACACTCAGAGTTATGCTGGGTTTGGTTTCAACTACTTAACCATTAGAAACAAAAAACAGCTGTGAAGACGGCTCAGTGGGTAGAATGCTGCCATGAAAGCGAGAACCTTTCAGATCCCAGAACCACATAAAGCTGGGTAAAGTAAGGTCGTCTGTAATTCAGTGCTCCTCTAACTAGATAGGAGGAAGAGACAGGAGATTCCTGAAAGCTCCTGGGTCAGCTGACTTGGCATACACAGCACTGAAGAGCAAGGAGAGCCTGTTTCAGGTATGCCTTAGTTAGGGTTTCTATTGCTGTGAAGAGATAGCATGACTATGGCAACTGTCATAAAGACAACATTTAACTGGAGTGGCTCACATACAGCTCCAGTCTGTTAGAATGTATGGATTTGGTGGTACACAACTTTAATCCTAGCACTCAAGAGGCAGAACCAGGAGAATAACCACAGGTTTGAGGCCTACTTGGTCTGCCGCAAATCCCAGGCCAGTCAGGGCTATATGTCAGGACCTGTCAAAAAGACCAGTAAGAGCCAGCAAGTACCAGACCAGTGAGGACTACACTGTGAGACCCTGTTTCAAACAAGACAAAACAAATATATATGGAGCTTGTGGGAGTCAAAAGTTAAACATGCTGGGTATGGTGGTGTATACCAGCACTTGTGAGGTAGAAATAAGAGAAACTTCAGTCCTTCTTGGCTATATAAATAAGTTTGAAGTCGGCCTTGGCTACGTAAGAACATTTCTCAATAAATTTTTAATTTAAAAAATGAGGAGCCTCTGCCAGGCATTGGTGGTGCACGCCTTTAGTCCCAGCACTCATGAGGCAGAGGCAGGAGTATCTCTGTGAGTTCAAGGCCAGCCTGATCCACAAGAGTGAGATCCAGGACAGCCTCCAAAGCAATACAGAGAAACCCTGTCTCAAAAAACAAAAAACAAAAAAAAAAATGAGGAGCCTCTAGGGATTGGGGGGATGGCTCAGTTGGAACAATGCTGACTGGGCAAGCATGAGGACCTGAGTTCAGATCCCTAGCACTCATGTAAAAAGCTGGGCATTGGTGATGTAGGGAAGCAGTTAGATCCTTCCTCACTCATCCCTAATGAGCCTTGCCCTGGCCAGTAAACCCTAGATTCAGACAAAAATGTCTAAAAAATAATAATCTGGGCACTCAGTACCACCCTCATTTTACAGACAAGAGAGAGTTCTTGCCTGACAGCCTTGTCTCATCCCTGGAATTTCCGTTAAAGTAGATGGACAGAACAGATGTGTGTGCCATGGC